TATTCTTTTCACTTAGAATAGAGTCTGTAAGTTCACTTCTTTTCTGCTACAAATCTTGCATTTTGGTTCTTCTTGTTTTGTCCATTTAGCAATGGTTTTATGTACTGTATTTAAAAATGTGGCTTGACTCTGTACTGCAAAACTACGTTGTACATTGTTCATCATTGCTACTAAATTTTTCAAGTACACAATTTCTATTTGTGTCTCTATCCGTTTGTCAGTCTATCTATCTCTTACGGTATGTTTGATAAGGAGAATTTGATAGTACTCTACGGCATTAAAGAAAAAAAAAAAGGAGCTAAAATCTTGTTCAATATGCTATCTACCTACGTACCAAACATACTACCAGCGTGCTTGAGAACACATACATACACACATGCACAGAACCAATGCCAATTGTGCATTATAGATAACTTCATGAATCATGAACTTAATGCTATTTTTTGTTCTGAAAAGGTTTCTCAAATGCAGATTGAGATGTTCCCATATGCTGTATTTTATATGTTCTTCGAGCAATATCTCAACATATGGAAGACAGCGCTAATCAACCTAGCTATCGCTACTGGTTAGAACTTTTCATAGACTTGTAATCTTTTCAACCAACTGCACCTGCAGGCAAACCGACTTAATTTTCTATTTGATCAGCAACCCTCTGAATGAATGTCCTGGTTTCAAATGGTGCAGAGAAACCTTATTTTACTCTTCAAACACTTGAATCACAGTCATATATTCTTCCCCTCAACCCCCAACTTCTAATAGGGCATTTAGTTTACTATATGTATTCGTACATTTGTTCATTTTTTTGGTCCATCTCAAAGACACTAAGTTAGTTTTACTATAATTTGACAGGTGCTGTTTTCATCGTTTGTCTAGTCATGACATGCAGGTCAGTATTTTTACCCGAGTTTTTTAATTAAAATTGTTACTTCCCCCGTTTAAACATATTAATTTGCTTCTCTCTTCACTTCTTTCCGTGTTTAGTTTCTGGACATCAGCAATTATTCTTCTTGTGTTGATAATGATCGTGGTGGATATCATGGTGCGTTTCTTTCTTCTCAACTGTTAGGGAACTTTGTTTACTTCAAAACAAGAGTTTGATGTCAAGCACTATATAACAACTTCCTAACTCATTATACTCATGGAATTGTACGATGCAGGGTGTAATGGCAATTTTGAATATTCAACTCAATGCAGTGTCTGTTGTTAACCTCATAATGTCCGTGGGTATAGCCGTTGAGTTCTGTGTGCATATTACACATGCTTTCTTGGTTAGTATTAGTTATTTTTTTCTGTAAGGAATATAATGTTTGTATCTATCATTTTTTTCTTTCTTAAGAGCAATTGCATGCATGCTTTTGGGGTCTATGTGGGATTACGGGGCTGGGTAGGTATATGATCTGAATGTTGATTTTTTATATTATTATTTTTTTTACCATTTCCTATCTTGTAAATATTTGATAAATAAATTACTGTTGTTTTGTTTATTTCCTGTATCTCTCGTATATTGAGTACAATTTTTTTTTTTTGTTTATATGCTGAATTTCACGATCTGCTAACTTCACATTTCCATACCAGGTAAGTAGTGGAGATAGAAATCAACGCATGAAGGACGCATTGACGACAATGGGGGCTTCCGTTTTCAGGTTTACCTTCTCTCTTTTCTGTTTAAGAAGCTTTCTTAGATCTTTTATTAAACTGTGTGTTAAAATGATGCTTGCCCTATTTTACGTATTCACTAGATGATACAACTTAGTCCACCCTCTGATCATGCTTCCCCAGGAGAGGCTGGTTTCATGGTTTACGCTCATACAGGATGAAATTACGACCTTTTCATAACATATTTCAGGCAATAAACACGGATGAAGGAGAAGGCATAATACCCTGTGAAATGACTTGCACATTATTTTAGAAAAGTTGTAGCCACATTTGTGTTTATGTGGAGTGTGGTGCAGCGAAGTCTGAAGTTGAACTTGCGTCATGCTTAAGCTTAAAAGTTACTTTTGAGTAAATTTTTTTTACCTAGCATGTTTCGGCATTTGAGAAATTACTTTTTGTTTTTTTTAGTTTTTTGGTTGAAAATCTATACGTGTTAAAACCATATCTTTATTTACTTTCCAAAACATATGTTTACATTTTTTTTAAGCTTATCCAAACATGGGTCGGCTACATGAATCATGTTCTTCAATCGCTCATATAACTTGTATCTCCTAACTTCTTCTACAAATGTAGCATAAATATACCTTAAGCTTTTAGCCAAGGTTTAAATTCTCTCTGCTTTCATACTTGAATTCAAATCTCTATTAATTATTTATTAGTAAAGCTACTTTCTTGCATGAATTTTAGAATCTTTTGAGAAGACTTTTGGACACAATTTCCTTTTTCGCCAATATATAATGATTCAACTTATGATTTCATCCTTTTCTCTTTGGCAGTGGAATCACCCTCACGAAGCTCGTTGGTGTGCTTGTTCTTTGCTTTTCGAAGACCGAAGTCTTTGTGGTATCTCTTCTCTCGCATTTAGATTCATGCATAAGAAATGCTACTTTTTTTTCCTAGTGATCTTAACTTTACTCAATGATTTTCAGGTTTACTATTTCAAAATGTATCTTGCTTTGGTGCTCCTTGGTTTCCTGCATGGGCTAGTCTTTTTACCAGTAAGATCTTTGTATTTATCATCCGTTTTTATTCTACGAATTATTTTTTTTTTGGGGAAAAAGCTGGTAAGATCTTTAAGAATTAAGACAAATTAATCTTTCTTTTCATGGGAGATATAAATGTACAACAATACAATACAATCAATGAGATGTTAAATTTTTTATTTTCTTTCTTACATAGTCGATACATTCCCAACTTACTGAACAAGCTTAGTCACTGAGAAACTAATTTCAGCATCAATCTTAATTTTGTAATATTACATTAGTCTCTATGTAACTTTTCTTGTTGGAAATCTTCACAAATTAGATGAATAATTTTGATTCATTAACTACCATAAAACTATAATTTAGGATGTCAGTCTTTGCAAAGTGATGACTACTGTCAGTGTTAGTTACTTTAACTCATGTGCAACCTTTTGTTTCCAAACGTGTTCAAATTACATTTTTTACTTTCAAGTAGTTAAAGTTGCATAAATTGACAGAAAGTTTGGAGTTGCAACATAAGTTACAACACAAGTACGCATTCTCAATTATAAGTAAATTTTTAAAGCTTATTCTCGACTTTGTGACTTGTTCTTTTCCAGGTACTACTGAGCATGTTTGGTCCTCCGTCAAGGTGTATTCTCATCGAAAAACAAGAGGATCGACCATCAATTTCATCACAGTTCTGATCTAATTCTGTTCTATTTGTAGGGAAGTTTTTTTTTCTTTTTCTGTTTTCTCCCTAGAAGCTGTATAGGTGCATGTAGAATTAGCTGTCTATCGTGGTGGAACAGCACACTCAAATGTAAAGTAGAACGATAGTTTATGTTCTTTTGAGATATACAAGGAAACAATGTACAGATTTCTTGTGAATTCCAATCTCCAATGTTTTGTACTGCTCAACAGTTTTACACATTAAGATGTAGAATTGTGAAGTTGAGGTCTGTTCGGGCTCGTCGGTAATGGGTCTGTCTGTAAAGGTGCAGCTGGCCTGTGCAGACCACGGGCCTAGGCGGGTCGTTCTGGACCTGGACAATCTGGTCTCCATATTGGGTACAAATTTACTCTTAGGAGCTTCTGTTGTCTTCTTATTGTTAGTCGTCTGAGAGCAAGTAGAAGGATATCTAAAGACTTACTACCGATCCAGGTGCTTAGCTGCCTTATCCATCGGACCCTTCTTGCGCTTGTTGATTTAGCAAGTTTACTCATTCCGCTAAGCCCGAGAGTACTAAGAATCGCTAGCCCTGCACTTATCCCTTGGCCTCATGCACTTTTGGGCTAGCTTGCTTGTGATTATTGCTAAGGACTTGTACCCACAGGTTCTACATTTGTTGTTAGACTAGTTCTTTGGGTCAGCTTTCCTCCGGCTCAATTTTTTTGAATACACCCGGAGGAGCTGCCCCAGAATAAGGAGATATTAAAGTTGGCCCCAAATATTAATAGATTTCATCCAACTGAAGATCAAACTTGCTGAAGTAATTGAATTATATGGCAGGATTGAGCAGTATTGAATAGGGTGACGAAAAAGGATTAAGTAGCCAATTCCAAATTTTTTGGAGATAGCATCTTGGCGACTATCCTTTGCTGGCGCATTCTCCTTCTCTAGAGAGGAGCCAAAATCCTTTCTACTGGTTCGTTTATAGATGAATAAAGGCGAGCCTCTCCATGTATATCTACTTCCATGACATCATGCCACTGCCACCATATTCAATATGTCCTCTAAGCCCCCCGATAACCTCTCATCACGGGCAGAGCCGCACTCGGTGAGCCCCTATAGCCACATGTGCTGGCTCTGCCGGAATTTTTTTCCTTATATTGGGCGACTGCTCGAGCGGCCGTCTAGTTGCCACCCATGCTAACCTGAATTGTTGGATCTGCCACTACCTCCCATAGAGTATTCTATCTCAGGCAGCCCTCAGGCTTCCCGGTCAAATCAAGGGAGATAGAACCCACACACACCCTAGGTTGCTATTCTCGATCTTAATAGCAAATCATTTAAAGTATCTTATGCACATTTGACTATCTTCTGTTTCTGATATGTTAGTTCACATAAGTCGATTAAAGGATAACAATACTCTGATTGCATTTCAAGGCTTAACAGGCAAGTACTGAACACAAGAAAGTCTTTCTATATATTGATAACTATTTACAGAGTAAGAGCATTATAGAATGAAAGCTTTCAATTAATTTGTAACATACACGGGGATTCACCAATAGGATATATTGCATTGCCTAGAAATCCAGTATACAATGCATTCATGTACTATAGGTTCTTACCTTTCACTTTGAACTCTTTGCAGGGATAAAGCCTGGTTCAAAACTGCACTAGCCGCAAATGTGTAGATGCGATTATCTGTACTATAATCACAGAAGGCTGCTGCTACCATATGAGCTCCCAACGTGCAGTTGGGAATCACGAAGCAAAGAGAGCTTAATTTTTTGGCTCTGAGTTGATCGGTAAACATCAATACACTCCTCCAGATCAGCATCACATGTTAATAATATCCATTCGAAGTCATCATCCAAGTATTTGAGATGAAAACCGCTAGTGTCATCTATACCAAACCGCATTGCAATTTCGTGCAGTAAATTTTTGTATCCCCACTTATTTTGCAAGCGGAACCTGATTTTCTCTTTCCCGTAAGTCACTTTTAGTCTGTGATTGTCTCCATCTTCAGATTGTCGACCACTGTCTATCAATGCAGGTGGGCAACTTTCTTGATTAGGAGGCTCACCAAAGTTCGTTACATCACTTGATAAATGACGCTTTCCGCCGCTTCTAGAGTGTTTTAGCAGGCCGTTGATAGATTCTTCCTGAACTATCGAACCAAAAACATTAGAATAACATTGACTTGAGCTCGAATTCTGACAGCAGGAAGTGGAAGGTGACTTTGATGCGGCAGCCATGGAGCTAAAAATGTCATTTTCAGACTGCCTGCCTAATGGCTTTGTACAATCAGTGGAATTTGAATTTGCAAGCTGGGCTGTCTTCAATACGTTTGGAGATGCCAGTTCAGGAAAATTGGAGTAAAAGGATTCAATTTGCAAAGCAGAGCCACCTGGTACCGAGTCTATCACACGTTGGATCTTTTCTAGGGAGTGACCGACCTTCTTGATCTGTCGAGAAGGCCAACCCATTATTCCATGATGCCTGCATATCCTCTTCAAAGTGGTCGGACAAACTGAAATCGTAGAGAAAATTAAAAATGTCAAGAGGAAAAACCGAATTCTAGGCTCGTATACTAAAAACTATGAAATAATTCACATATGAAGGGAACAATGAAGAAGATTTTGAATTCTAAGGGTAGTCTCCGCTGCTTACCACCAATACTTTTTGCAGCATCATTCAGGCTCCCAGCGAAGTATTGCCGTAGAACTTGCAACGTAATAGCTTTCTCAGCTTTTTTTTGTCTTCTCTTTCCAGGTTTACTTCTGCTCGGTGAGCTATCATCAAAGGCAAAACCCACTCTTGAACTAGAATCCGGTTGATCTCGTCTGAACTGTGACGATATTTCAGCTATGATCTCTCTTGGTTTTCCATTCCAGGATATTATATTATGAGAGGGCCTCAAAGAATGCATTTGGTCCACCTGTGGAGCTTCTTCGCAAGATCTAGTTACTGGAGGATTTGCAACTTCACAAATTGGAGAAATAGATTCGTCCTTCAACTCTTCTTCTGTAACAACTCGTAACGTGCGGCAAACTTTTTGTATAACATTCGACAACAAAGTGAGTATTCCCTTTTGTCCTTCAGGATCCCTACAATCCTTAGGCAAAAAGAACTCCAAAACAAAGTCAACCGAACCAGTACAGATACTCCGAAGACGTATAGCAACAGCAGCACATAGTCCAAACATCTTTGCATGATGAGACAGAGGATACACAGTCTTACTATAAGAAGTTACATCAGGTGAGAAACAAGGTTGATTAGTCGTAAATGCTGTACCGACAATGCCTTGACCTTTTAACAAGTGGTGCTCGGAGCAAGCTTCGAAAAAATCCCAAGCACCGGGATCCGCTATGTAGCAAGCAGAATCTACAGTGGAAACACAATGGAGCAAGTTATCGTCTGAGTGCCGACTCCCCCATTTGCCTTGTAGGACACATGAGACCCATGTCTGAGCCAACGGCAATCTATGTGTTTCACAAGCAGATCTCAAAACCTCCAAGATTTCGGGTAATGCTGCTTGATAAGATAAATCACATGTCTGCAAAGAACCAGACGTTAATTCAGAAAATTTTAGTAACTTCTGTGGAGAAATGATACTGTGCAGATTCTATCTTATTACCTTGATGTTCTGCACACTTGAAACATCAGAACTCCTGAGATCAACAGCCTATAAGAAAGCATGTTCTTTTACTCAAATTTTAGCTAAAGAAATAGGTGTCGATTCCTACATTCTTGTAGTTGTACAGCCATAAAATCGAATGTTTTAAAATAAAGTTAAGAACTCGTGAAAATGAGCAAAAAACAAACCTCTAGAGCTTTGCATACACTTTCAAGCTCTGCACTATACATCATCTTTTCCTTGGTCATGATCACTTCAATAACCCCCAAGCAATTGCGACTACCCTGTTCAAGAACTGGAACGGCAAATGTTCCACGAACATCATATTGTTGTGCATGTCCAACTCGTAGGTATTCGTCCCTTGTAAAGAATCGAACATCAGGACTCCACTCGGGAACCTTACCCAAAAATACCCTTCCAGGCAATCCCAGCATCCCTTTACAAGCCTCCTCAACAGGGAAATGGTAATTCACAGAAATCTCCCTATAATGGACAAGCCTTGGGCAATTAAGGTCAAGAGAGAAAGGTTGATCATTCGTCGTCAACACTCGCCGGCCACCTTTGTTAACCGGCACCCATACTTGAATAAGTACATCCTTATCTCTCGAGTAATCTTTTATGTACCCAAGCGCCCAAACCAAACGTTCTATTACCGATATTGAGGCCCTTTGTCCAATCCACCTTTTGCTCGGTTCAGAACGTTCAACCGAAAAACAATCTGATTGACCTAAAGAACCTCCATCATTAACAGTATCCCCAACAAGGGAATGAGATTTTGCAGAATTTTTTGTTCCTTGGGATTGACTAACGAACCGGTTGTCATGAAAAGTTGATCTTTGCCTCTCTTCCTCATTAGACCATACGAACGAAGGGTCGAACGGACCACTGGGAGTAGAAGCATTGAAATGTGAAAATTCAGATCCATCTAACCAACTCCGTCCTAACAATAGCTCATCCGTGTAATCAAAATCCATAAAGCATCATATGGAGGACCCAAAAAATAGTAACATCAAAATCTATATCAAAGTACAATCTGGTATGAAAGTTGTACACTGTCAAAGGCCGGTCTGTACAAGAAACCAAAACATTATTTCAGTTCATAATCTCTAGTGAATTGAAGCAAATAACCAATTTGGATAAATTGGCCATAAAGTTGGATACTACACATATCAGAATCCAGTCATCAAGATTCTTATATTTTACATTAGAAAGGACAAATTTTGAGCATCGACAAGACCGGTAAAAATATTTCCAGACAAGAAACAGAAATCATAGTAATAAACGAAATGCAGACAAGAAGAGGCAGAGGAACTCACTAGGACAAGATTCTTGGATGTTCCGAAGTTGTTTGTCAATTCCAACAAATATATGTATCAAATATTGTCCAATGCATTGTTGGATTTTATGGGTTTTTTGCTCTCATTTATCCCCTCCACAAAGAAAAAGTGGAAACTTTTAGGATTCGTTTGAAAGGCAAAAGTAGAAATGAATTTCAATTCCATGTTAGTTGGAAAATAAAAATCTACCAAATTCATAGGAATTCGCTTTCCATGAAAACAAAGAAAATACAGTTTAAAGTGGTTGTACCTTGGAATTCGGTTTCCATTTCCACGTTGCAATCAAACTGCCAAAGTGAAATTCATTTTGCTCGGATGTGACATTTTCTATAAAAAAAAAATGTGACAATCAAACATGGCCTTATATTGATTCTTCAGTCCCCACAATACTCCATCACCGTAACCCCCTTGGCATTCAACTAACTAGACAAAAATGGAAAAACCAAAGAAACAAGCCTTAATGAATAAAATAATATTGCCAGGATAATGCAAATTTAAATCAAGTTTTATGTGGGTGGGGTTTGTGTGTTGAGTTGGACTTTTGTGTTTATCATTTTGCTTTTCGCCATTTTGTCAAGTAATTTAGAGTTGATAATGCACATAGTTCCACTCTCATCAATAATGTGCTTGTGGTGATGTATCCAATGTTCAATAAGAGTTAAATCGGCCGGCTCAACTAAAAAAAATCTTAATAATGGGTCTAGTGACATGCCATTGTTGTCCAATTGTTAATAGTAATTTGATCGATCGATTCGATCAAAAAACTTATAACTGGTTTGATAGCATGCCACAAAATTTAAAATCTAAAAATCGGTAAAAACTAGGGTTCATGTTCATTCATTTCAATTTGGATAAGAATCCATAGATTGGTTAATTTGGATGATGATGTGTAATTAAAAAAGTTGTTAGTTTTTTAATCAAATTTAATTGTTTAAGCATAAGGAAATAAGTAAAAACCCACCATTGCTTAAAGTAAATTCTATGTTTTTTCCAACTTATTTGGGTCAAAGCTTTGCTAATGAGAGTAATTATACATCCATAAGAAATTTTTAATTTGGCATCAATAATGTTTACATAATAATAATAAAAATTACAAAAGTTTGTATGCCAACAAGGATTGAAGAATCAACCATTCTTATCCTTTAAATTTTCTTCTACTTAAAGAAATACGATGAGATAAGATTGAAAAATGATAAAATTATTTGTAATATTTATTTAAGCCATGTTATTATGTAGCAATAAAATAATTTAACTTTTTTATTGATATCGTACAATCTTATTTTATCGTTTGCACTAAACATATCATCATCATGGAAAAAGCATTTTCCGTGAAAAAAAATTGTAAATCAAATGGCACAAAAGTAGGAAATTATGTGAAAAAAAACACATTTTTCATGAAAAATATTGGCAATCAAACGCACCCTTAATTTTTTTATTGATATCGTACGATATTATTTTATTGCACTAAACATATCGTCATCATGAGTGGATAAGAATGGCAAACGAAAGTATTATACACAGAAATAATAATTATAGTTGTCACAATCATAGTCGTCTAATCCTTTTCTTTGTTACGTGCTGAATAATGTTGATATTTTATTTTTTTAGGCAGATATCGTGAATTAATTAAATAAATTCTGACCAAAAGTGGGAAAATGGAGAGACGCATTTTAAGGGTTTTATTATTTTATAGACTAATTTTCGATAACAATATTTAGACAGCAATGACTCTAACTGCAGAGTTCTCAACACGTTTTTTAGAAAGTGTTTTTTACATAAATAAAAATTATAAAATCACAAATCCAACTCACTGCCAAATAACGGAATTTAAATAAAATGAAGATAAAAATGAAAAATAGCTTGCGGCGTATATTTCATTTACATTTTATTTTTTTTTGTCAAATAAAAAATCAGAGTTAGGTTTGCAAAACCTTTTTTTTTTTACTTCCGTGACTTCTAACTCTTTGACAATGAACCAATGGTTAAACGATAATTTGATTCCATATAATGAGAATGGTGTATTTGAAAATATTGAAAATGATATAATTATGAAACGTTATCAAAGTATGAGAACTCGTAAAGAATAATTTTAATAAAATATTGAATGCTTTAATTTTTTTGCAAATTTGATTGTGTCATCTAACTCAAAATATCTTCGTTCGACACTGCCTTCAATCTGTTACGACACTGATATTCACCACAATCCAGCTGGCAAACCGGAGAAAAACAACAACAAACCAGAGACGAGCAACTCAGGCAAAACTACTTCAGTTGATGTTGTTAATTAGTTTGATAGATAATTCTGCTAGCCTCAGGTTGTTACGCAGTTAGTAGGTTAGCTCAGTTGT